TTTACTGTATTTCACAGAGCTCTAGAGTTTATAAATGCATAAAATCCACAGTCTACAAAATCTTTCCCGATAGGGGACGACTCTAATGGATGGTGACGAAGAAGATTCACAGATAAGTCTCGGTCACTTCACGTGTTTGTGTATCTTGCAATTCCTTGGAGCCGTTAATCGACAATTTGTTCCTCGTTACGGCGGAACGATAGCGGGACAGACACTACGGACTTTTCATCGGTTGTGGTAATACACTTAGCCGTGGCTGAATCATCGCCGCGAAAGGATTGTAGAGTGTTTTTGCATCGGTGGCCTTGATTCGCCGATTTAACGCGAGAAACCGCCGGGATGAAAAATAAAAGGGAAGACCGATTGCCCTGGTGAATCGTGCCAACACGGGCCCACGATTAAACGCGTCGATCAATCATTCCACTTCTCTGATCGCCTTACCAGCACCCCCTCCCTGCCCCTTTGCCATGTTCTTCCCAACTCTCGTTTTTATCGGGTCTTCCTCGCCGGGACGAATCGTCCTGACGACGTGATCCTCTCCACGTTCACCGATTTAGCTGATCAAAAAGACCGATCGTGTCGTCGAGACCAAAAGAAGCCTCTAGGTGGGATCGAGGTAGGGATGTTCGATTCTGATTCGGTTCTTCGGAAGATTCCCTTGGGTGACACGTCACTGCCATGTACAGTAATGTTTCGATAAGTGCGACGAACTTGGTTCTACTTAGCTTCTGTTTAAATATTGGAAGGAATAACGCCGTTGTCCGTGACGCATTCATGAAGGAAGTTCTGCCCTCTCTCTAATGTTGAAACCAGCTCTTCACGTTGGAGGCGCAGTCTATATTTATAGGTCTGTGGATCAAGGGTGCTTTTCTGATCCATTCCGTCCGAACAAGCTTTGATTTCCGACAAGAAGTTTCCGAACAGGTTCAAAACATGTTCGAATCTGTCCACGAAGCATCTCTATATTCGCGACGATTTCACTAGCTGACCGTTGTGTATCAAGAGACAGAGAAAGAGAGAGAGACCAGTTCTCTCCGTTATAACGGCACAATACGTGCGACCGGCTGAAAGCTACAGCTGCCTAGGTGGAAACGGGACGAGCGATTGGTCCGCTGGTAACCCGCCTAGGACAGAAAACGAAGGACGATCCGGTAAGAGTGACAGACCCACCTTTGGTCAGAGTGGGAGATAGACCCCAGCGAGGGTAGAAAAAAGGTGGAAAAGCGGAGAAAGCAAAGAAACAAAAACGAAGAACCACCGAGAGAGTGTTGCACGATGGAGAGCAGCGTGGGGACATCGAGGTAGAGGGAGAAGGAACGGAGTGCGAGGTGGGGCTAGATCCACCGGAGAAACGGGGAAGAGCAAAACAAAGGGTTGAAACCATGGACGTATATATATATATATGTCTATGTTTGAAACAGAGGAGAAAGAGAGAGAAAGACGGATGGGTGTCAGCGGAGGGCGTGGAAACGGATAAAAAGTCGCGGATAACGTGGTGTACGAGAGTGAATAAACAGAAAGCCGTGGGAAAAGGGGCAGAGACGACAAAGAGGGAGTTAGAAAGAGGAAGTGAGAGTGGTATATGGAGGAAGAAAGACAGGGAAAGGCCGCGAGTGGTGAAAGGAGAGAGGGAAAAAGAGAGGAAACCTGGCAAGAAGCACAAGGGAGAGGGAGAATATAGCCACAACGTGGGTAGAAGAGAGACCAAGAGACAGAGAGAGAGAGTGAATGATCTACGGGAAGAGATCTAGGAAGAGGGGAGGGATTTCCGAGCAAAGCGGGGCATATAATATCGTATGGCAGTGCCGTAACGAGAGGCGCTTTCCCGAACGTTGACCTCCTCCGCGCTTCCAATACTAACCTCGCCCAAATGCTTGCTCGCGGGAATACGAAATAATAGAAACTCTTCGGTCGCGGTGCGCGCGCGCGTACGGCCGTTGCGAGACCATATTATACACGGGGGCAACACACGGGCACGGGTTCGTAGAAGCTGATTGACCAGAAGTGATCCCTTGACGGGTCCCTCGGCTATATCGAGCCTTCAACGGCTGTTTCCGGGGGGCCGAGCAAGCTGTTCCTCCGGGATGGTTCCCTTTAAATCGCCCTCTTCTGGGAACTCGGTCGGGTCGACCTGAGGTATCTTTCCGACCCGAGAGGAATGTCCGAATTCGAATCGATACGATCGATTGGACAATGCGAGAACATTGTTGTGTGTGCTCGACTCGGTTCCTACGCGAATTTCCCTGATTTGCAGTTAGAGATATGCGATATTGGTTCCGATATCGATATATATTTTTTCGGTAAATATATCGAGACGAGAATGCTATCAATTTGTCAATTAAAAAACTGTTTGTTCGTCGATAGGCAGTCGACCGACAACTTGTTATACGAATTCAACGATTGGAAGTCAAACTGGATGGTATTCGTGTCCTCCGAAGCGCGAGTCACAGGAAGCACCGTAATCGTGGGTTTCGGATTCCTTTCTTTTTATGCTCGCGGAGAGAGATATCGAAGGGAGTCGCGCGCGCATTAAAGAACCCGGGGTGGCATGAGTTCTTCCTGGCGTTTTTCGAGGCTTCGAACAAAGGCACCGTCGGGTGTTTTGCGGAAATGAAAGGGGGGGGAGGGAAAAAGAGAGAGCCCTTCCTCGTTTCCTACCGAGGCCTTTATTTCGCGTTGTCCTTGGAAGACAAAGGGAGCCTTAAAGGCCCTGAATGGCTCTTCATCATCTCTCCCCCGTCGTTACAAAGAGGCCCGGCCCCCTCGCTCATTGATCCGAACAGTTACGACGAACCAGGGCCGCGCCGATGTAAGCTCGTCGCGAATCACGCAGCATTTCTTGCGTACACACCCATCGACCGATATGGCGATGTTCCATCAGCTCCGTGTGGGGATACGGACACTTTTCATTAACGTCGATAAAGAAACACGGAACGTCTCCGTCTTCAGGGAATCTGTCCCCTTTGATTACGGAGTTGAGAAGAGATTTGTCTTCGGTTATCGGTTCCATGCAACGGCGAAAACGTTTCCAGGTATTCAAATTAAACAAGTACTGCTCTGCGAAGGCCAATTAACGTGGGGTTCTAACTATCAAATTCGATTTTTTATCTATTCTTCCTTTGGTGTCTCCACTCTATTTATTGTTATTTTTCTATTATTCTCGCTTTAAAATATAATTTTTATTATTTAGTAATGGTTTAATACTCCTTTCTTATATGTTGTATAACTCTGTATAGACAATAGATACGGCTTTTTGCTTTAGGAATACGTTAAAAAATAATATTCAGTATCCGAATTGCTCCTAATCTCGAAATATGTAAAAATTACAGATACGTCAGTTAACCTAAAGATACAGTTTTCACGTGACCAGAAAAATCATGACTTTCGTTGTCGCGGCACTGTACGACAATGTGAACCGTCGTTTTTCCTTCCCGAAACTCGTCACGGTAACGGAAAAAAGCGTTGCTGGGCGGTTTAAATGGACAGGCGCGCTGCTCTTTAAACGGTCAGGTAGCAACAGCCGTTTCGGGCACCCTGGGGGGAGGAAGAGAAAATCACAAGGATGCAGAGGGTATATATAAGCGAAAGAGACATAGAGAGAAACTGCAACTGCACCGGTCCCTAGGAAAATCTACGGAATTGTTTGTTCACTTCCGAGCTTTTTTCCTATGGCGAAAAGCCAGAGAAAACACGACCAGCCGGTATTCATCGGTGGTCAATTTGACCAGCAAACTGCATATAACGCGGTTGCATCGGTCCGATATAATCATATGGGATCGATATTTTTAGCACGGTTCGTACTCCTGTTGCTAAGGCATCAGCTGATCAAGCCAGCCGCCTGCGTTTCGACAGCCTCGTATCCACGCTTGTTCAACATTCGATCCTCCCCCTACCCTCCTCCTCGATCTTCTTTGCCCCATTATACGACTTCTTAAACAATTGTATTACGTAATCTGAACTGTCAAGCGAAATATCAGGTGAGTCACAAATTATCCACCATCGGGAGTGGATTACCTTTTTTTCTTTCTCATCGAAAGTTTTCTGGAAATTTCGTTGGTAACGCAACCGACTACTCCGCGCGTGAGAGGTTCCCCTCCGTGTTGCTACGGCACTGTCGACCAATCGCAGTGCCGCAGAACCGGCGAACTCCCCACCCGGCTGTTGCCGTCCCCCCACCACCAGCCGGTCGCGATCATCTGATCGTCGCTCAGCTCGGCTATCGAGGCGTTAGTTATCGTCAGTTAGCAACCGGCTCTCTTTCCGTACACATCGTTCACCGTAGCGAACTCCATTCCTCCCCGTTTTCGCACGTAATGTCCAGTGTAACCTGATTCTTGTGCTCTTCCCCGAGTTCTTCAGTGGTCGGTGTTTAGTGAACGATCGTAGATCTTCTCGTCTGTTCGTATTATTTTTTCTGTTCTTTCGTCATTCTCATTCGATCGTCCCCCGTCGTCGCGGGTTTCTCGTAGTTAACAATCGAGGGTACGAAAAGATAAGCCGGGGTCTAAAAAATTGTAAAATTCGTTACCTTTTCTGTCAACCGGCCGGGGTACCCAGCAATACTACATACTGTGATATTTATTATGACTGGTAATTTCTCGCCGGTGTTACACAAGTGCGACAGCACACTGACGTCCAATCCCAAAGGAAGGCTCATCGTTAAAACACGCCGGTGAAAACCCCGTGAGATTACATATATTTTACTGTCAGGAGAGAAAAAGAAACATCGTAACGGCACTCGATCCCCGCGAAAATTGATCGCTGGTAGCTTTCCTGTTTTCTACGAGACAGAGATCTATAAACTCGGGGGTTTCGAAAGAAACAAGGACAGACCGTTTTTACATTTTAAAAGTCATATATATATACACACTACTCGAAGACTTTCGTGTTAAGAGACCTTTATACGTACATATATACAAGTACATCTATATATATTTATTAGAAATAGTGTATTTATTAAAATCGTCCAAAATTCCTGTGGCTAACGTGACCGAGTCTTACCCGAAGGCGGATACGATCGCGAATTGTGGTGGTGCCGCCAACATGGGTCAGATTGGAAATGACGTAAGTTTATTGCACATGTTTTTCTTTTATTTCTTATAATTATAATTATAGTGTTAAGTTTCCGAACATTTCCGATTTTCGGAGCCATTTTCTCGGAACGCGTTTCCCTGCTCGTGTTTCCGTCTTTTTTTTTTTTCGGTCGCCTGGTAACAGCAGCCGCGAGAACCGTAGGGATCGACCCGGCTTTTCGGCCTTCCATCTCGCGGTTTCCTCGCAATTACCAGCCTCGTTATGTGTACTCTCGTGTGTGTGTGTCATGCATGTATGTATTTTCACGATACCCTCCGCTAGACACACGCACGCGACCCGGCGCATTCGGAAAGTCACCGAGACCTTACGACTCATCGGGCAGAAATAGAGTGCGCGATACGAGGTTAAACACAGGAGGCCGGTTCGTTAAAAAGAGTCTGTAGCTGTGTCGTGTTAACGTGTTTCGATTCCGACCCGACCGGTCGCTGAGGAACGGTCAAACGTGCGTGCACATAGCGATGTATAAAGAAATAACCGCTAAAATACAATCGTAAACGAAAGCATATTTTGAATTGATGGGTCGTTGTATTAAAGACCATCGTGAAAAGCAAAGTGACTAGACAAAAGAAAATTAGTTACTTGTTCCAATAGATATACATACTCGACCAAAAATTATACGTTTGCTCAAATGTTTTTAATCGTCTATCAGATGTAACTTCCATTTATGTCTTTGAACTTGGCATATACAAAGTATAAAAAATGTTCCAATTGGTATACTGAATAAAAAATATTCGGAGTCAAATGTTTACTTAGAATTATATAAATCATCAGTGATTCAAATTCGTTTCGATATAATATACAATTGTATATATGATTTTGTTGTTAAATTTCACTAGATATCATTACTTGACATTTTTATGTTCGAACCTGTCGCTGTTCTGTCGCGCTTTGTACTGTTTCTTCATCGGAATTCAATTGTATATTGTATCGCTACTATGACTGTAAAGATTATCGTATATCGCGAGTAAATATGTTTTCTGAACATTCTATCTGATAGATTCTTGTGGATGGCTAATGTTTGCCTATGAATTTCACCGATTCGATTCACGATCGTCGTGCACGCGCCTGGTTCCTCCTTCACCCCAGAAGCAACGCGGTCCCTGGTTAGAGGCTTTCCTTCCGAGAATAAATAAAAAATACAAAAAAATAAGTCTGTTTAATATCAATATTTTCGACTTCAAAATAACAAGATACAACATATATATCAGTCTCATAATTTTGAAATAACGATTTAAGGATCTGGGCGTTGAAGGGTTAAATATCTTATTGGGGGTGATAAAATCGAAAATTCGTAATGGTTTTGATGAAAGTTTTATCTTTTACTGTATTTCACACGGCCCTATAAGTTATAAATGCATAAAATCTGCAGTCCAGTAATATCATATTGTACAGTTCTTTTTCTTCACTTTTCTACCATTATCGCGTTTTCAGTATACTATTAATCTTTCGTAACCAGTTTCACTCGAAAAGTAGCAAACCGTACGTGTAATTCTGCGATCATGAAACCGATGTACACGATAACCCGTGATGCATTTAAAAAAACCCGGTATGTTAATAAACACGCGTAGCATGTGATTTACACCAATCAGATATGATGCAATCAACCGCCAGAATTCATAGTGTAGAAGCGAAGGAAAAAAGACCTTGTTAACTTGTTTCCCAGTCGGTTAACAGGTTACACGGTTCCGATGAGTGATCCACGCTACTTCTTGCCGAATTGGTATTCATTCCCAAGGCTTTCTAAACCGCATCGATGCATATCGATCAATGCATATTGATAATATCAAGTGGAAGATTTCGTTCTATATTCGAATACCTTTTGATCCCACCTAATAATCGTGTCAGACAAGAGTTAATTCTCTTTTTTTTTTTTTGTATAGCTTTGAAAATCTTGTTGATTCTGTAATATCGATCTCAAACGCAGCTTCGATAAGCTCCGATAAGCTTCGATCGAACGGGAAAAAAAAAATTGAAGAACTCGTTCGTGGTTACGGTTTCGCGAGAACTCGACCGCGGATACCCACAATTCTGGCAAATCCTTCGCGTCTATTTCCGTGCGTCGTTTGAATCAGAAAGATTTCATAACGCGGCCATGCATGCACCCGCAGCCCCTGTGGGTTGCGCCGGTTGCAAACAGTTCCTTTCCCTCGGCCTAAAGCAGGTAAAGCCCCCGGGGTCGGGGATGACTCGAAGGTATATCCGTTCTTGCGTCAGATTCTCCACCTCGCCCTCGCTCCCTCTCTGGGCTGCCAGGGTTCCTGTGTGTCACTATGCCAACTTTATTGACTCGTTTCATCATCCTCGCTGTACGTTTACCCAAAAACGGAGCTGAGCTCACCTGTAAACCGGGCATAGGTATACAATGTTTTTTTTTTTTTCGTCGTCCACTAACATTCTCTTGAACCGCAAATTGGACCTTGATTTGTTTGTACAACTTCGATATTATTGTGATTTGAATCTGTAACAATACTTTTTAATCCATGAAATTTTTATCGAATTTTTCCATAACCATTTCAGGGACAAATTATTAAGACTATTTTTCAGCTGCATCTATTTCGAATGTATTTATGAATATTAATGACAATCAATTGGTAGGTTATCCTTTTTTTTTTTTTCATGGAATTTCCAAGTAAGGTTTATTCACAGTAAAATTTATTGTATTTTTGGAATCATTATTGAATAACAGAAAAACTAAACGTGCACATATGTGCTAGTATTCCCTCAAGAAATTAAATACAATACTTCACTTTCAGTCGCTGTTCATCGACAGTCGCGAGCGTGAAACGAGGTTAGTTTACGATAAGAAGAGCTAGTCTCTGCATTAATTAGTCTTCGTATTAATAATAATTCTGTAATTTTCGATTTGGACGGGGAACAATTAATGCGATACTTTGTTGCCAACTCACGACAGCTATATTTATGCTCACGGAGTTTACATCAACGACGCGTAGTTAGCAACCTTGTGAGGCCCCGGTAGCAACTGCCATTTTCTTATTGGCTGGCTCCGTAAACAATCCTGTATTTTTCTTGTTCGTGTGTGCAACTTGTTCGTGCGTGTGTGCGTTCAATTTAGGGCTTCCAGCACGACGAACAGAATCGTGTGTTTGTTTTTAAAACACGATCTTGTTATCGTTGCAACTTGCATAATCACAATTAAACACGCGGAACGCAGACCGTGTCTGCCGCTTCTGACAACTTTTATGTAATAATTCGACCGCGGTGTCTGTGGCATTTACAACGACTCACTACGTTCGAGAGACGGGCAAATTCATTATCTAGATAAAGAGTTTCGAATAAAGAAGGGAAGATGAAAAAGTACTTTTTAATTATTTTTAATCGTTTAAACGTGGAAATTTCAATTTTTGTATAACAAAGTAATACATTTTTCTGAATGAGTCGACGTTTCATTAACTATTTAAAGCTCAGAATGTTCCCACTTAGAATACTGCAGCTTTTCACGATGTATTATTCGAAACAAATTTTTCCCAACTCTGGTTCGAGTTTACGTTCTCTCCCCCCTCCCTCTTATTGTGTCTGCTGTTACCCGAGTAAACGAAACTCGATATATTTTTTTTATTTCATCGCCATGTGCTTACAACTCGCGCATTCAGCACTGTTCACGTAGCGAGCACGTGGACACACGTTGCCTAGACCAAGACACAGTGTGTTGATTTGTCTCGTCTGCAAAGTAGCCTGTGCGCGTCATTATTTTATCCCGGCGATTAGCTATGCAAACCCAATTCTGCTTACAAAGTCGACTCTGCTACGCTCGTCTTGGAACGTGAGTTAACCCTTGAACGCCCAGACGCTCAAATCGTTATTTGAAAATTGTGAGACTGATATATATAGCGTATCTGGTTATTTTGATGTCGAAAATATCGATATTAACAGATTCCCAACTGTCGTTCATTTCTGGCGGTTCTCTGTGTGTCTACGCAGATAAACGTGTACAGAGCGCAATTTGAATATCAAAGTTCACTCGTTCGAGTCGATATTTAACGCGAACTTTTGCGGTTTCGCGGATTTATCGCGGATCGAATGCTTACCCGAGGCAATTCCCTCGACTTGCCGCGACCGCGCGATAATTGAGTACTTTGCCCTCGATGCATTGAAATAACTCTGGGGGTGGGGAGAATAAGAACCGTTAGATGATTTTCTATTTGGAGAACGAAAAACATTTAATCACATCAGACTTAACTGACGCTACTTCCACACAGAATAAACACCATACAATCTTGCTCCTACAATATCCTTCATAGTCACCCTCTGTAATGGCTCCTATAAACCTACCATAATTTCGAGTAAATTATCAAAACAGCTTCACCTCGTCACAAACTGCTTTGTTTTTTTTTCATATATTACCTTCCCATAGGCCAGTGTATCGCAACATGGTCTGTACGCCCCACTGGGGGGCAATTAGCAGATTATTAATATTTGTCATTTCATCGGCAACTGAATTTTGACTTTGGTAAATTAGTTTTACATGCTTTTGCAATGAGATCAGAAAAATTATTTTTATACTTTAATATCCCTTGTCCTTTTGTGAATTGAACAGATAAAAAATCATCTATTAACACAGGAGATACTACATAAGACAGACTATATTGCCATTAAACATATTGCCACAGGAGGCACTTCCCCTTCACACGTACTTTCGAACACACAAATTCGTTCTCCCACCACGTTGCACACCATGATCCAGCTTTTGCGCAAGCGCTGAAGCGAAGGCTATGTCGATAGACCTTAGCATGGAGGGGGCTCTAAACTCATTGCCATTTTACTCCCCTACAGCCCCGACCATGGCAATATAATTAGAGTCCACTGTATTTGTGAAATTGCATAAGACCTTATTTGTGTTCTGTGTTTTCACCGCGACTTCTAAAAAACACAGTTTAAAAATCAAGTTTCTGGTGGACGAACTTCCTCCGATTTCTGCCGATTTTTTACGATTTTTCACCGCTGTGGATCGT